GGCGGACGGGGCGGAAGGGGGGCGCTCTGACGTCACCGCGATGACGCAGCCAGCCTTGATTTGGTGGCGTCACCGAGGTGACGTACGCCCTTGGTAGGGGGTAGCGTGACGTCACGCCCGCATGACGTCACGTTGCGCTAGGCCCAGCCGCGGGGCGCTCCGCCCGTCCCGGTGCCTCCCCGGGGCCGCGGGGAGGGCAGCGCGGATCGCGACCCCGCCGGGGGCAGCCGGGGCTGCTCGGGGTGCCGGGGCCGCGAACGGGGAGCCCGCAGCCCCCGGTAACCGCGGGGTTTCCAGCGCTGCGGGTGCCCCCTGCCCCCGGCGGCTCCTGCCGCGTTAGGCTGAGCACACGGACCTTGTCCAGGGTACGGGCCGGAGGTGGCTCCTAGCAGCGTGTGCTCCATGGAGCTTCATCTCTCCACCACTGTTTGTGTTAGAACTTACGGTTTAATAAAGCTTAAGTGTACTGAACTCAGCTCCACGTTTAGTCGTAAAATAGCCGGCTTCTTTCTGCACAAATTCTTACTCGAATTTAACACTTTCTTGACAAATCTGCAGTGTTGGCACTGTTCATGCTTTATCCTGCTTGGAGCCTTTATCAGCTCCAGCAGCTGCTTTGCGTAAGTGTGATGGTGGAATAATGTGCATTTTGCAGATCATTTTCTTTTCCAGCATTCTGCAGTGAGAGATTGTCGTCTGCTTAACAGTAATGGATTTTCCAAAAGCAAAACGTGGCAAACAATTCATAATAAATGAGATCTCGAAGGGTTTAATAGTAAAATGCAATGACCCATTGCTGCCAGTGTGTTATACATGGTGCACTTGGTGCACATATAGTGAAGAGCAGATGCAGTTACTGAAGATCATTATCTTATTGTGCTGAGGAAAAACGTTGCTCAATATTTCTCGCATGAAATAATTGACTGGGGTTTCTAATGTCATTTAAGATGAAGTATCACAGACACTTCCAAATCTAATAGTATAAATTTAATAATTTAAAGTGACAAAAATAACACAAAGCGCAAGAGATACTGGAGTTATTCTCTTAACTCTAAAATGTTATTAGTTAGGTGATTGCTGTTTGGGGGGATTGGAAGTTACTCTCTTTGATTCAGTAATGGGGGTGACGATCTGTCTTCACTTCAGAGCTATCATGTTATAAGTGCATTAAACGCTGTAAAATCAAGCGCTGGCTGCGTACAAAGAATCACTGACGGGCGCGGGGTGGCAGTTTGAGCTCAGGTAGTTGGGTTTGGGGGATGTTTGTTGAATTGCAGCTCCTCGCTCACCGACACCAGCCCCGAGAGCTGCTCTCGTGGCCGCTCCGCGCTCCGAGTGCCGCAGTGCCCAGGTGAGGGGCTACCGACCGCAGGCAACGCACAGCCTGTGTGATGGAGTCCTCAAAAGGTTGCAAAGAAAGCAAATCCGTTGCCAGCAGTCTTACATTTCTTATAAAAATACAAGAGGTCCAAATAATAATAATAATAAAAACTTGTTCTGCAAGGAAAAATATCATTGCTGGCTAGCAGTAAAAGAACTGCTGCGTTTCCAGGCTCAGCCACTCGCAGGGGCTGGGATGCTCCTTTGCAGAGGCCGCGGGACTTGGTGACCCCTTTCCCAGAGGTATTGGAGCGAACAAGTGTTGGTGGAGAGCACAAACACGGGAAACCTCCTTATTCCTTAACCGTTTAGCCAAGGGAGAGCAGCAGCGTGGGGTGCGCTGGGTTCTGCTGTGTGCTGAGCTCGTCTGGAAGGGAAAGACAAGAAGCAAGAGCAAGGGGGAGAGATGAAGGGGTTGTTGTGCACAACAACGGAACAGATGAAGGGGTTGTTGTGCACAACAACAGCAGCAACAACAACAGCAACAGTCAGGCCTGTTTGCAAATTTCCCGTGGTTCTTGTGGGTGAGGTGGTTAGTGAAGCTGGAAGGAAAGCTGGACTTTGGATGCAGCTCTGTTCTTTCCCGTCTTCATTAAACCGATTTTGGCAGTAGCTGCAACAAAAATGGGTCAGATGTATTTTTCTCTTCAGATGTCAGATTTGGGATCTGATTTTGTCCTTGGACAAATTATTGTTAACTGCAGAAATCTGTGGTCTGGGTAGTGTGTTATCAGCAAACTTTGCTGTTCCTGAATAGGTTTAATTTGTCTCTGCTAAAAAGAGAATTAGTGTACATTAGCTATATTCATAGTAATTTTTTGAGTGATTAAATATCTTTTTGCTTTAGGCAGCGTTAACTTGTGATTTTAGAAGAAGTGTCTCCATTTTTTATTAGCAAAAATTGTTCTTTTGTGTTGTGAAATAACAAATGCAGCTTCTCTAGCATTTGTTATCGGTAGGAGAAAAGATGATAAATTTCAAGTCACATAGTCAATTGGGTGCAGTAAGATACACTTTAACTGTTTTAGACTGCGGCTTCTATACTTTGTAAATTGTTTTTCACGGCTCTGGAGCAGCAGAGATGGAATCATAACTTCAGGGAATGCTTATTGGATTAGAAGTTCTGTTGAGTCAGGCTGCCAGGAAAATCGATTACACATTTTCTCTTATCAGTGTCACCTCATTCTGCTCACGAGTTGGTTTTAGTCTGGAGTTTAGAACAAAGAAATCCTTGTGTGCAAAGAACATCAAAATAAGGGCGTCATCTTGATATCTTAAAATCTCTAATGTCAAAATTAGACATTAAGACCCTGACACTCAGAAAAGGGATCTTCCCCTTTGTCTTTGTAGGTAACTGCCAAGAGAAGTTTCCTAACATAAATAGCTATAAGTACACTATATATTGCTTAGACATGTAACACTGATTTTGCTTTAAGATAATATATATATATATATATATGCACACACTAAAAATTAGGTGCATGAGTGCTTTATCTTTTCTATGATGAAGGGCTAATGCTGGAAAACTAGGACTTAAAAGTTCTGTGATATTGGTGGGACAGGAGACAGAAATTATATTGTATTAATTATTATTATACTAATATCCTCTTTCTTGCTTTTCTTCCTGTATTATGAAAACACTTATGCTCAGTTAACAAATGCAAAATTCACTTTTCAACTAGAGATAGTGTGAACTATCAGTTCTTTTTTTGAAGAACAGATCTTTTTCCCTTAGTGGTGGCTGTTCCTGATATGGTTTATTTTGGATGGGAAGATGAACGTCCGGAGCGCTGGCGGTTGTGCTAATGCCTTCTTACCCTCGTTTCGTTGCTGTGCTCTGAGCAAAGCTCTGGTTTGGAACCTCTCAGCTGACAGTTTATATTATGCTAATCAAAATCTGTTTACCGGAGATGAAATTGAATATGCCATAAGCTTGCTGTCATTAATAAACTTAATTCCTTTTTTTCTTTTTTTTTTCCAGTTGGATTTCCATGCTTAATATTGATGATCTTGAAAGTGCATTTGGACCCAAGACATTTTCTATCACTGAACGTATCAAGAGCCTCCTCTCCTATGCTAGAATAGTTCGGACAGTTTAATATCATATGAGCCCATTTCTTCAGATTAAATGAAAAAAAGGTTTTTCCAAGCCTTCCATGAAGCTCAGCTGCTGTCTGGTAGTTTTGACTGTTAGCGTTGGTCTTGCAATTGGACTTACAGTGGAAAATGTAGTTTCCAACAGGACGGTTGTTTTGGGGACCTTTAATGCATCTCTTCATCCAGTATTCCAAGCTTTGGCGAACTCTCCGGAGCACCATGATGTCATAGCCAAGGAGGGGACCAGTGTTTTAATTGAATGCAAAGTGAACGCCAGCCAGTATGAGTATATCCTTTGGTATAACTCCAGAGGACACCTGCTTCAACAGAAAGATGAAGGTGAGCTTTCCTGCTGTTTTATGTACTTCAGCATTCCTCTTCAGTATGGTTTCTAAAAACCTCTGGAACTTTACTGTCTTCTTCTTTCTATTCCCTCCTTTTTATTGTTTGGGAAATCGGAGGGAGCAGGACCCCACGCTTTTCCCACATATGTGTGGCACCTGGTGGGGCAGGAATCCTCCATCACCTGCCCAGCCTCACTGCTGGGGTGCCCTAGAGAATCATTTCGATAAAGAAAAATCACATTATTCAATACAGACAAACTGAGTCTGCATCCTATCAGGCACCAGCTCATATTTTTATTATTGCTCTCATTAATATTTTCTTTTTGCAAGCACAAGGGTTAAACACAATTCCCTATAGCTTGTGTTCTTTTCTGTCTTTCAGTTAGTGCTCTAATTTCATTACAGATTTTTTAAAAGCGTGAGGTGACTTGATTCAGCCTTATTTCCTGGTTTATGCACTAATGCCACTGTGGAAACCAACTAGGTTTGTAATAGTCAAGGATGAAATGTGTGCTTTTAACCCTTTTATGCAGAGGGAGAATATATTTTCTTATCTATTGGTTCCTACAGTTTTATCCATCTAGTTTTTAATTGTCAGGAAATAACGTCTTTCAGAGGCTCCATAGAGTAGTCTTTACTATACCAGTGTTAATGAAGTCATTGAGCCAACGGGTAGTGTCTTCTCAGGAGGCCTTCTTACTGCGTAAAGAATATTCAGGAACCTTTTTATACATTAAATGTTGTTTGGAAATTCGTTCAAAGTAACGAGAAGTGCAAGCTATGAAAACCATCCCCAAAGTTACAAATACATAGGAGATACTTCGTAAAACTAGCTGCTTCTATTGATTTCTTTTTATATGAGTTTTGTATATCAGCACTGTATGCTCATCAGAAACCATGTCTCAAGAAACTCCTAGGCAGCTGAGCCATTTAGAGACTTCTCTTTTCATGGGTCACTTCCTGCATCAGAACATATGGAAAATTAAACTTTGTTGTAGGAGCATCTTCCAACAGCGGATGAACACAGTAGCTAAGAGTTAGATTTCCTGTCAGAACAAACTACGGGTCCAAAACAAGAGAGTCACAAGAGAAGCACAGGTGATAGAAAGCAGAATAAGCAGAGTAGCAAGTGCACAGAAGTCTTTAGCCTAAAGCAGTAGGATCATCATCTAAATTGCACATTTCTGTACTGTGAGCATGAAAAGGAAGATTCTGTTATTGGGTGGACTGTTTGTTTTGTGCTAGCAAAGGACTGCTTGCTTCCAAGTTCTCGCTGGTAATGGTGGAACAACACCATGCAGCATGTTTCCCTAGTTATCTGGGGTTTTTTAGCTCAGTTTATTTCTTCTGAATCTCCAGGTGGCCGGTGGTGGATTGCTGACAATTCCCTCAACATCACGAGGGTGAACTTTGCTGACCGGGGGCGCTACACGTGTGCGGCTGTTAATCGCAACAACACCTTGTTTTACACAGTCACCCTGAGGGTTATCTTCACCTCGGGAGACATGAGTATCTACTACATGATTGTATGCCTGGTTGCCTTCGCCATCACCCTCATTTTGAACATCACCCGTCTGTGCATGATGAGCAGCCACCTCCGCAAAACCGAGAAGGCCATCAATGACTTCTTCAGGACGGAGGGAGCCGAGAAGCTTCAGAAGGCTTTCGAGATCGCCAAGCGCATTCCCATCATTACATCTGCCAAAACGCTGGAGTTGGCCAAAGTCACTCAGTTTAAGACCATGGAGTTTGCCCGATACATTGAAGAGCTTGCCAGAAGTATTCCCCTTCCACCACTGATCCTTAACTGCAGGGCGTTCATGGAAGAGATCTTCGAGGCGGTGCGCGTGGACGATCCCGACGAGGCTGGCGAGGAGGTGAAGCAAAGCCAGGCGTGCGGGCCCCAGGCCGCGCTGTATCCCGTCAACGCGGAGATGGCGCGCAGCGATTCCCCCGCCGCGGATTCCGACGACGGCTCCGTGAGCGAGCAGGGCCAGGAGATCGCGGTGCAGGTGTCCGTCCACCCGCAGTCCCGGGTGCAGAGCATCGACACCGTCTCTCACGACAGCGGCCGGTCCGCTCCTCCCGAGGACGGCGCCTGCTGAGCCCAATGACACACAGTGCTGAAAGAAGTGCGGGTGACTCCAGCATCCTGCAAGAGAGAGATCTGCAAAAAAAAAGAGCTGCCTCAGTCCCATATGCACAAGAATTTTCCAAAATACCAGGTGCCAGAATTACTACTGAAATTTGTATTTTCCATCAGTCTGAAATTTGTATTTTCCATCAGTCTTTCTCAGTGTTGATCTGATGATTTCAAGTTTGTTAGGAAAGGTCATTTGGAATATTGTGCAGTGGCTTTTATTTTTTTTATTTTACAACAAGCATAGCATACTAAAAAATATTTACAAAGCAGGAATTCTTTGTCCTCAACTCCTTGGTAGCTTCTCATACTGCGTTAGAAGTGGCCAAACTGAGCAAAACAACTTGCAATAAGATCTTTGTCCTTGTGAGGACTCTTCCTTTGCAAAGTGAAAGCTGAATTCCTCTTGGTTAGTGTTGTTGTGATGAATTGAGTTGTGTGCTCTTTCTGAATTGCCTCTTGATGCGTGTAGCCTGTCAGAACCGTGGTGAGCTTGAGCAAATCTGTGTAGTGTGCTTCTGTGTTACCAAAATGTGCTGTGCTTAGAAAAAGAGTAGTGCCAGGATCTGCTGCAGGGTTAAATGAATTGTAGCTTCCAAGCAGCTCGGGGAACAACCAGGGGGTCTCCTGTGTACACCGTAGCGTGCAGGAAGCCGGTTGTTGGTGCAGAGGTTGTTCCTTCAACGTGGTGCTGGCTGCCAAAGCGCCTTACCCGGAGCTCCCTTCGGAACGGAACGGTGAGTCGGTGTTGCTGATCCTGCCTGTCTTTGGACTGCGCATTCCATGCACTCTTGAAAACCCAAAGTATCCTATGGTATTTTACATTGTTCTGAGAAAGGAACAACACGGCGGTGAAGTAGTGGCAAGGTTTAAAAGTGCATCAATTATTCTACAGATCAGAAATCTCAGGCAGTTCTTTTCTGAAAGAAATAATAAAAGAGAGGGAGGGTAATGACACTCACTTAGCTCTGGCTAGTACATTCTGGAAGCGGTGGAAGAGGGGGCTTTGCGAGGGGCTGCCTAGGTCCCTGCTGCTCGTTGCAGCCCTTGTTTGGGGAGCAGAGCGGCTCTGAACACTCCTCCCGTCCCGCCGAGGGCCGCGGGGCAGGTGCTGAACTCGTCCCTCTGTCCTTAACCAGGGACCCTCCCGTGCGGGTTCCCAGCTCCAGGGATCCGGCCGCGAGGAACCAGAGTGCAGGAAGGAACCCGCTCTCCTCTTTCACTCTTTGGTGCTGATTTTTTTCCTCCTTGACATTTATAAGTTGTATCACTTAAATAGCATTTTACATCCTGTTGAGATTTAGTAGATGTAAGGCTTGTAAGCACTCCACAAATTAATTTCGTACAACTACTGGAAGCATATTGCCATATAATTTTAACAACTTGGCAACAGGAGAACCATTTAATTTCCCACAACTCTTTTTTCTTTTCCGTATTATTACAAAAATGTCAGTTGAACAAGCGGTTCTGGAAGGCTGCTTAAGATTCCTGGGAAGGTTTGACATTGCATGAGTGGAGATGGAACACGAGGCATAGTGGCAGTAGCAGGGTGGGGCCTTCAGTGGCATCCCCGTAATGAAGGGTCTGAACAAGTCGTATTTATCATATCAGAGAACAGGAAGCTGAAGCATCCGCTGCCATTTTAAAATTCCCTTTGGGAAGAATCTGTAGTTGGCTACCAGTAAATGCAGTCTACCGGCTCCGGGGTGTCTGATAAGAGCTGTGTTCGGAAGAGGAGAACTGCTCGCCTTGGTGCTGGTCCTGCTCCCACAGCCTGGTGCTGTTCCCCGGACAGGGCAGCATTCCCTGCTCCAGGGTGTACTGCCCGCCGCAGGCACCCCGGATCCTGCCATTCCCATCCCTCCTTTTTGACCTCCAGGGTTAGGTGGCACTTTATGTCCCGGTGAAACGCGTGTGTGCTTCTGCGTGACCCTTCGGGCTTCTTTTCATTTCATTTTTGTTGATGTTCAGTGTTCAAAGATACTCTTGTGGATAAACGCCTGGTTCTCCTGGAAGCTCTGCTGAGATGCTGCTGGCCTCACCTGCGCACACTTGTTGCACGAGGATGAGCAGAGATCGGGGGGGATTTGCCCTTGGGAGTGTCCTGGGCCGGGGGATAAGGGCTGCAGCAGGTGGTGGCCCGTTGTGGTCTCTCTGCGCCACGGGCCATCAGGATTGCACCTGCAAATGCCTTTTCCTTCTCCCGAGCAGCTGTCCTGGCTTCTGGGAAGCTGTGGCCTTGGATGTGGCAGCAGCACCTTTGACGTGTTGCCCCGCTGTGACATGTGCAATGGAGAGATGCAGCTCCCAAAGCCCAGCTCCCTTTAAAGGCTTCCCGAGGAGCGGTTATGCAGTGGGGATTGGCAGGTGTCTCGTCAGAAAAGGCAGCAAAACCACACTGGAGGTTGGTCAGGTGCGGGGCAGGAGGACAGATTCTGGAGAAACTCAGTGTGTTCTTTGATTTTTACACTTTGTGCATAGAGCTCTGAGTTCTAGCTAAGCACGGTTACTCTGTGTGTGTGTGTGCAGTTTTCTTCTGTTGGAGAGGGAAGAATGGTTGTGCATAAAGATCCTCAAAAATGCACTTGCTGTATCAACTGCTGAATAGGAAAACTACAAATTTTATCCAATTAATATACTGTTTTATTCACTGAATCAATTCCATTCCTGGGAAGGAGGCTGTTTTGTAAGAATTTCAGTAAATCAGTAGCACTTATTAAATGTAGGAACCGATCCTACTCCCACCGAATTCAATTAGAGCAGACTTGAAGCTCTGGTGTATTTTACAAACTGTATTACAGAATTTTTATGCATCTGAAAGCAAAGATGATGATGATGGCATTATATAGTAAATGTAGTTTCCAGAGAATGAAACCTGACACTGATTTCTAAACAGTTTTTGTGAACTGTTTCTGTATGGAATAGATGTGTGCACTTAAATCCGTTTGATGCAACTAATTGAAAATTAACATGGAACAATTATGCAAGTGTCATTGTTTCTCCCTAACATTTTGTAGGACAAGGAGGTTGCACAGAGGTTTCCTTGGTTTAAACTAAAGTCTTTGACAATCACAAGGCTGTTTTATCTCCTCTTTATAACATTATTTTAAATAATGCAAAGTCTACTTGTTATTCAAGAGAGTATCTGAAATTAACTTTGTAGTTGTCCTTTGTAGTGTATGGATTGTATTGTAACTGTTTAATGTAACCACATAGGATTTCATACTTTCATAAAATGAGTTGGTAGATTTGCAGAATAAATTAAAACCCAACTCCTTGTTTTTTTAGGGTGTATTTTGGGTGTTTTTGTCAGTAAAGGTTGATGAGCAGCAGTCTATTGGAGGTTAAAGAGCAGCTGTATTCAAGTAAGCGGAATGTTGTTAGTCACCATGATAAAAGCTACCGGGACGCGGAGCTGACAGAGTCAGCCCTCCCGCTGTGACATCTCAGGGTTTGTCACTTTGAATGTCTCCAGGTCCTCTGTAGCATCTGTAAGAATTCTTACCAGCATTAAAAAAGAGACGGTTACAAGCCCAGAATGGTTTCAGTAAGGCTTGTGTGTTCTTCATTTCCCTTGTGCAGCACAGCAGCCCTCACTGCCAGTCTCTATTTTCTGTTCTTGCCTCTTTTTTCCTTTCTTTTTTTTTTTTTTTTCCCTTACAGGTCCATACTATTCCGTGTTATAATCTGCTCTGTTTTGATTCCCCTCAAGATCCGGTACATTTCCCTCCTGCCCCTGGAGAGGCAGTGCCCGCTCTGCAGGATGAAGCCTCCCAGCGAGGGGTCTGTGTCGCTGCGTTGCCCGCGGGCTGCTGCGACGGCCCAAGGAGGCTGCCCGGGGGTGCAGGGAGCAGGGCCTTACCCATCCCTGCCCTTGGCTCCAGCGGGTTACGGAATTCCGCAGGGAGGGAATAAACCCTTGGAGCGCTGTGCAGCGCTGCAGAGGGGGGTATCCCGCTCGCTCGGGTCACACGCTTGGCTTCCTGGTCCCCTGGCTGGCAATTCCTGAGCTCTGCCAGGGGATGATCCAGGGCCTCTGAGCTGGAACCTGCCTGGGCACTGCTTTACCCTTAAGCTGTGTTTCCCATGGGGATGCCTGCAGTTGGATGGTGAGGATTGCCCCTGTGTGGGCTTCTCCACACTGTTTTTAAACAACAGTCATCAGCTGCCAGTCTCTGTGAAAGAAAAACGGGAGAATTCAGGCTGGATCTTGGCCTAGTAGGGGGTTTCCTGTGGGAATTGGCAGCTTAAGGGAAGAGTGATTGGGCCCCTGCGTCTCGGGCTGGGTCAGCATCTGCTTTTTGTCTCCCTGCTCCGGGGTGTGCCGGAACGACGCTCCGTCCGCTGCTTAACCCGGCTCTTCATGACCCCCACCACAGCGAACAAATTCCTCTGCGTAAATTGAGAGCATTTCTGTATTTGGATAACAGCAGATCGTCGAAGAGGGAGCTGCACTGAGCGTGATGGCAGTTTACTGTTAGGTGTGTTCTTCACAAAAGTAAACTTTTCTGTTGCAGCCCTCGGCTTGCGAGTCCGACCTGCAGCGGGAGACACGCAGTGCACAGCTCCATTCCGTGCAGCTCGGACGAGTTCCAGCCTTGCTCACGGCCGTTCAGCCGGGGCATTTCACACCACATGGGTATCATTTTTTTATTATATGACAAGCTCATTCAGATGTCTTAAAATACTGCCAGTTTCTTAGCATATGGAAGGAAGAATTACTTCATCATTCCAAAAATAATTTTTTTGGCTGGATATTCGTAAGTCAAGAAAGCCTGAAAAGCCATAAAGCAAAGCTTTATTGCTGGTAGGACAGTGCTATTTCTTGGTCACGCCTGGCTGCCAGTGATCATAATAATACTGAGTAATTAGACCTTTCATTTTCATCAGGCTAATTAATTGTTTGCACAGTGCCCAGAATATGGAATCATTTTCCTGTGGAAGAATGAAAGGTTTCGAATAGCT